TTTTTTGTTTTGTTTTATGTATGACATCACAAAATGTGAACTTTTTGCAACTACTTACACGAAGTAAATTTTTCATGTCAACCACCATTATGGATGCAAAGCTTTATGTTTCGTTCTTTCTCACATCACTTGACGAAACAACTTGGCAGCTATAAAAATCAATGAAGCAGTTAAAAAAGAATTTGACAGGTCTCAAAGATAAGGTATGTGGTTCATAATGAATAACATTGATTCGCATTTCCATCGAGTGAGAATTTTTATGTTTATAAACATCAGGGTGCCGAGACTGCGCAGTATTGAATGGAAATCATTTTTAAGTACCATAATCTTAGTACATGTATTATAGAGACATGTCTACTAGAAAATACACCACTCGCAAAATTCATACCAAACTACATGTATCTAGGACCCAAGTGCCGAATTATATATATCCCCACTAGTGAGGATATTGATGATGTCACTTTCCACTTTTTCTTGAATTTGTTTGTGCAAACAGTCAGTTTGTCTATGTAATAAAAAGAAAATTACAGTGGCTTGAAGATATAAATTAGACATATTTTCTCATGTTAAAAGCAATATTTTACTCACTCACTGCACCTGTTCGTAAAGTACTGTGTTTTACAACTAGAAAATATAATTCATATCTTCATGCCACCGTCTAACACTCTATTATGTTAATGTAAAGACAAATGTGGAGAATTTTGAAACCTGACATTTACACGTAGGACAATAGCTGCCCTTAATTGCCACAGCAGAAATCCTACGAAAAAGTTCTTAGGATGGTTAAGGTTTAAGATTTAAATGCTTGATTCTTGATCATGAGGGATGTCGACATAAAACCACGTATAAACATTATAAGGAATAGATAGCAACCATAGATCCTAGTTTCACTAACTCTTTATGTTTGCTTTTACAAGTTTATGGTACACAAGGACACATTTTACAGCTATAAAATAACTTAATATAGTTTGTTCCTCACTTTGTACTCAGAAAATGCCAAGTGATCATACACATCAAACAGACGGACATCTTCGGTCTCATTCTGTTTGCTGTACTGTTTCAAAGCTTCCTCCATCCAGGTCTTCGTGTAAAACATGTCACTGTTGAGATATGCATGCCGTCCCACATCATAAACTTCACCCACTGTCATTTTAGGTGACTGCACTGAACCAGGTAATTTTCCGAGAGCAAATGACGAAGGTTGAAGTTGGTATGTGTCCTGAAGTCGCAGAAGTGCCGTGATTGCTCCGTCAAAGTCTTCTTTTCCTGGAAACGCTTCTTTATGCTTAGTAATAGCATCACTCACAGCTGCCAGACAAAAGCGTGTGATATGATGATCTGCGAACTTAATTCTCCTCGCAATAAAATTGTGAAGTATTATTGCATTACTTATGAGAAAAAATAAAATGTAAATCATAAGCTAGGGAAGGTTGCAGTTCAAATTTATGTAAGTTTTATTACAATCATCCATACGAAGGTAATCCTGAAAATGACTTTGGATGATCACAAAATTTGCTCCAATCTGAGCAGACCCCATATCTAGATAAAGTGTACAAAGACTTTAGTTTGTCCGTCAATGATAAGTCTTGTCTGTTGGAACTGATTGGTCAGATTTGATGTGTTGGCTGACTGTCGATGGTCTGTCAACAGTGATTGGTCAGTTCTGGCTAGTTTTGATCTGTATATCAGGCGTTTCATAAACATTTTCAGCAAGAGGGCAACTGCCTTTCACAGGCAGGGAAACTCTTTTGAACTGAACATCTGTATAAGAAAAGTTTCCTTTAGATAGTCAAATCAGGCAGGCAAAATCATTCTCACAGCCAGTCAATTTGCCTGGAGCCCGGCCCCTGTGTATCTGAGTATCATCGTAGGGATTTAATAATTTTCTATTTAAGTACCAGATTCTACAGGGAGGATTGTTTTTGGAATTTTATAATATTTCAGTTTCAAATTGAGTAAAATAGCCTAATGTCAAGAATATTACCAAGATGCAGTTCTAACGGGAAAACCGTCATTAAAAAATGTTCATGCATAAATTAAGACAATAATGACAACT